TACACCTCGCTGTTCCTCTTTCCCGGCCTCCATTGCGATGTCGGACGCGCAGACGTCCTAATCGCACGTCGAGCTTGTCCAACAGATAAACTGCAGAGCGGTGAACGTTCGCACTGTTCGGTCCTGATTCAATAGTGAGGGCACCTCTATACAGTCCTAACAGCGTTACCAACTTCCCGCCTTACGCTCGATATATAATCTTGTCTCGTTTTCATTTGACTGATCGACATAATATTTTGTTCTGTTTGTTTTTAGAGCGTTAAATATTACAGATTACAGCATATTAATAGAGCAAGGACGTAGTGCACAATTTACTTATTCTTTTAAATTATAAAGTTTAGGGTTAAATATTTAGGGGTTCAGTTTTCACTTAATTATTAATGAACAAATAGTAGTTACGAAACATTCAAATAAAAATATTTGATGTTAAATTGTGTAAAATGAAAACATATAAACATTACGTAAAATACTGGACGTTATTAATAAAATTACGTTACATATACTTTTATAAATTATAAGATTAGTTTGCATTCACTAAATATGTGTCAGAAGTGTGAATTAACAATATGTTAACAAGATATACGGCTATAAAATTAAAATCCATTTAGATATAATAATATCCTAATATCATGAACATTTTATCGTTCCTATACTACCACTTTTTTGGCCTAGGCTGATTATTATTTTTAATAGGTCTGTACTGACGTCGACACCAAGCACATGCTATAAGACGGGAAACACAATTAATTTTATAATTTTTAACAGGGAGTAAACCGCCCGTACGTTGTTCTTTGACAATTTGTTAATACATAATTCATTATAAATAGGAATAAAAATGGAAGTAACGATGTTTGAAATCATATTAATCAAAGAGAAGATAGGCATTTTCTGTAGTAAATAAATATAAATGGATTACAATATTAGTATAACGTCACAAGAAAAATATGATAATTTTCACGTATGATCATACTATATCTTCCATTTAATGATCGAACCTATTTAAGAGATCCTAAGGATGAAATCTGCACAATAATCTGTAGTCGTAGATAATGTCTAGTAAGTTTAAAACTAGGTAATTTGAATGACTTTCTAGGAGTTTGTAATATTTTTGGCAACTGAATGGAACATTTTGGTATATTGTGGGTAGAATAAAGTATTGTGCATTATTTTATTTCAATAAAACATAAGGCATTTGCAAACAATCTTAAAGTTTTTCATTGAAATCGCTGCAGTATTTCTAGGTTTGAGTTGGACGCATTGCCACAAAGATGTATTTTGGAGATCCAGAAGGGTTTTAAAATTAGTTTATAATTCAATAGTTTATTAGCCAATAAGATAGACGACGTTTTTCTAGAAGCCAATAGTGTTACTTCATTTTGATTTCCAGGGTTTTTCTTTCCTTTTTGATAAGTGCTTTTTTGACATGTTTTAAGAGGTGTATGTGGTTTTGTTAGATACTAAGGAACTCGGAAAAAATACAAAAACAATGAAAGTGTATCGGTTTTCACTGAAAAAAAATCAAATTTTTTAATTGTTATTTCATCTATCCCATGTTACACTACCGACTGAATTCTCATACTCAGGACGTAATTGCTTACGATGCATCTTACTATCATGCCGCAGAATGGCTGCAAGAAAGATCTTGCCTGCCAATATTTGCTATTCACATGTTGTTATGTGAAACAAATGTTTTGATATTGTTGGAATGTATAAGAAATATTGTTCAGTACAATCGACTTCGCTTATAATAAACATCTGGGCACTAACATTTTTGGTTCACTATATCCAATGATATCAAAATTTAAAAGAATTCCCCCCTGTGTTTGATTTTACTAATATAGAGACGCAACAAAGTACATTAACAAAGCGAAATAAAAATGTCAGCCTTTAGTTGATCTTAACAATATCAATTACTTTTAATAATTTTATTTTTTGATTTTTCATTAGCAATTTCACTAGATCGTGGTTCAGAGTAAGTGTATCTTCTTATGTTGATTTATAATTAAATATGAAAGTAAAACAGTTCAAGTGACATCGTTAACAAACAAGTTAAGTCATCGTTCACGTAAGAGTGACCGTGTTTACTATAACAAGAGTTCACTGTATACATACAGGACATATGGAAAATAATAATGTTATTGCGATATTCGTTAACTCTGTTTTATAAAAAATATTTAATTTATTGGAGTGAAGAACGAAAGTATTTTATTCGTTGTTGTGGAATTGTGCATGCTACTTCTTAGAAAAACATTTTGTTGGGTTTTGTACAGCAGCATTATTGCTTCTACAGTCTCCTAGTCTTACGCTAAATATAATTGGTTTTGAAAGAGCAACAAAGCAAATGTTTGGTATTTTACGAGAATATTGTCCATATTTTATGATGTCATTTTCAATGACTTTGTGGTAAATTATCAATGTAAATTCATTTAATCTGATTTATTCAATTACTTACACTATTATTTGGGTGCTTGTTTAGATATGGTTGAATTCAACATCGTTTCAAAACTCGATAGACCTGCATTGTCACCGTTGATGAATGGTCATAAACTAATCAGTTTTAATAACGATCGTTTGCGTATTATTTCGCATTAATTTACCACGCTCTGGTTTGTATTGTGGGCACATATATAGTGTACTTTGCCAGGCTCCAATAATTCAGGATTTCTCCCGTAGATCACAGTCTGCCCTAAAACTGCACAAGCCTCCGTATTCATGGAACGCAATTTCCCCAACTCCGTCGGTGTTACACGCCCCCTTCATACTCTCTGCACGAGCCCAACTCGTGTTCTGCACCTCCGCCTTCGTCTCTGGCCCACTGTCCCTTCAGAGTGCTATGCTCCCGCTTCTCCCTCACCTCCTCACACCCCTCTCTTCCCTCTCGCCTCTACCTTCGTCTGCTCTCTACCCTTCTGTTCTACCTGCCCCCTTACTCCATCTACTCTCCCTTGCTTCCACCCCGACTCCCTCATCTCCACCTCACCATCGCCTCCATCCCAATCACCCCTGTCACCTCCACACCTCTCACCGTCCCTCTCCTCCCTCTCCTTCCTCTCCCTCCCTCCCTCTCCCTCCTTCCCTTCCTGCTCCGCCTACACCGCTTAGCCTCCCCATGCGGAGCACAGCCTTTCAATAATTCATAACGAAAACACTCTTCGAGCGTCGCGCTTTTTCACCTGCCCGGCAACAAAAATTCTCTGGAAGTCTAGATTGGTCCTGAAAGGAACTACGAGCAGATTGGGACTTCAATCACTATGGAACGCCGCAAAAGATGTTTTGAAAAAATGCGTTATTCATGTCCCGTTACTTGGAGAGAAATAATTTCAAACATTTGTAGATTCTTCGGGATAATAGAAATAATTTGTAATTGGATATGTAAGCAAGCTTACATTTTAACAAAAGTCTGAAGGAGGACTGGTGGGAGACGTTGATGGAGTTGCTGATGATGCGATTGGTCTGGTAGCAGGGAAGCGTCATGTCTTATACCCCCATCGATTTCTCTAAATTTCGGAGAATCAGTTACTGGAAATATGATTGGACTTTGTTTCACAAACTTCTATTCAGATGTAAGATGATGTAGTACAAAAAATGTAAAACTTAATATAATTTTTTAGTGGGAGAAAAACCGTATTCAAACGTACGCTAAACATGCCAGCTCTCTTGAAGGGCTTTTTGCGATTAATGTTCATTGCCTATTCTGTTGTAATGGGTGAGGGAAGGATCGAATCATTCAGATAAAATTTAGGCACAGATAAATGGACTGCTGACGTGAATTTTCGTATGAATTAGAAGAATATAACAATAAATTCACATGGCCTGATGTGCGCCCTTCTTTCTTTACATGAGATTAATGCATTTATACATTTTGCGCGGTGTGCCCTCAACCAGCCTTTATGAGCACCTTTAAGAAAAGTACCAAAATCGTTAGATCGTAGCTTTTTATGCCCCATCATTGCGGACCAACCACCGTTACCATTACACCAGCCTCCCTACCCAACTTAACCATAGCCGTATAGCAGCTAAGCACGGTTTTAAAAGGGAATTTTAGAATAAACTGTGCCAAATTATAAATCCACCATGGCAAGGAGCGTACACTGTTTTATTTATCTCGGCTAAATCGACATCTAGTACACACGAAATCCAAACCTTTCTTATATGTTTACTTTAGGATGTCAACGAGTATTGAAGAAACAATATTTGTGAATTGGTGGAAAATAATGAAATTTCAGTTGATCAGAAATGTGCGTCCTTGAACGAGGACTGGCGTTAAGGGGTTATTGTCATTGTTCCTTTACTATTCATGGCTTCTCATCTTATCACTCATGTGCTGAAGGAATTTCAGCGTGTCAGCAATAGTTTGGGATGGCCAGATCCTTCGTCCTCAACATTCGTGCGCTGTAGGAATTTAATATACTCGAAGTGCAACAATCAGCTGCGTTTGCAAATACCACTTGGGAAAATCCTGACTCAATGACTGCGCGAGGCCTGATGGCGGTGATTGTTCTGGTGATGGTGATCGTGAGGAAACGGCGGAGCGGAGCGGTCGAAACATAGAGTGAAGTGAGGACGCGACTGCTCCGGGAAGTATTCGCTGAAGCGGGACAAAAGCATAGCGATTCTCGGCTCCGTTGTCCCTCGCCGGGCGATTCAAAGGGCGCCATTTTGGCGAAGGTAGCGCAAAGGAGGGATTTGTTGTATAGCCTATTGGAATCGCATTCTACACTTCTCAGAGGACAGACAATTCTAAATGCAGATGACTAAGGACGTTATTTTTATCTTGACAATAATTCTTCATATATGTTGTGACTGATTCACCTATGTGGTAACTGATTCTTAGTGTCGTGAGATTTCGTTTGTTTGTTCTCTCTCTCTCTTTCTCTCTCTCCCTCTCCCTCTTTCCCTCTCTCCCTCTCTCCCCCTCCCTCTCTCTCTCCCTCCCTCCCTCTCCCCTCTCTCCCTCTCTCTCTGTATGTGTGAGTGTGTGTGTGTAATATATCTTTAAAATGAACTTTGTTCTTTGTGAGTTGAAAGTCATTAATATTTCTCAACCTAAAATTCCATTGTGAAATTTAATTTGCAGTTGCTAGGACAATATTTATTGAAACCTAATGGCACTACTGTTTTATACTTTTCTGTTAATGACATTACTGTTATTAAACTTTTCTGCTTCCATTACAGACAGTCCGGTCTTTATCGAGCTTGCACCAAGGGCCTTTGTAACATGGACATATTTGAAGGTAAGTTAAATAAATTTTCGTATTACAATTATAATAAAAAAGTGTTATTACCGTATTTCCTGATGTTTGTTAGAAACATAACTGTTCGTTAAATGGAACTCAGCCTCTGATTTGGAAATTTCGGGTCTTCAACATGAACATCACAGCACAGGTACCATATTTTCTTGTGTTGCAATGATTAAGCTCTAGGTGTCTTAATCTTTCATGTTCATACGATAATATTTTTGGAATACTTTTATGTACGAAAGAATTATATACATTTTAATGTATTGTAAAAACGTCCTTTAAAATTACTCCATAAAATATCATTAATCATACCAAGACATCCCGAATTAAAGTGAAATTCATTCTGAAAAAGTTATGAAATTAAAACTAATTTAACATTCGGAAGGAAGAATAGATATGATTGGGCTTTTAGTCTGCGGAATTTGAAGAAAAGAGATCCAACTGTGCTACTATTTTATCTGTATATATCTTTTGATTACCACAACCTTCCTAACAAAGACATAGATTAAAAGAGAGTATGCATTGGATATCGAAACGTTTCCCCTTCTTAGTCTCGGGAAATGCAGATATTTGCTTATCAATCTTTGTTAAAACAGAAGAATTTGACAGTCCTTGGCACTTTAAAGGCGGGAGATTAATCGCAAAAAACTAAATTTTCAGTTTAACTTACATCTATATATTAATACGCAAAGAGGAAAGTTTGTACGATTTCTTAGCGCATTTCGCGCACGTAGGAATGTGAGATGTCATACATAATTTTTATGTGAAGAAGGAAATGTGTGTTAAAAATATTAAATAAAATATACAATGGACAGATGCAACCCGCAACACGCTCGCATAAACCGTACATCACTAGAAGGGTGCATTTTGGAGCTTTAAAACCAAATTTTGATGACCCGCATATGGCACTAGTTTGTTTTATACACTGTTTTATAGTAGTTTGTTCTGTACGTTTTGTTTTATACGCTCTTGTGTACAAAATGAGAAAGTTTTAGACGTTTTATTCCAAGCTTAGCGTGTACGTAGAAGATATTTCACTCCGTATTTGCATTTGTGTACGTGAAAAGGAAATATGTATTAATAATTTTCGCACGTAACGACATTAGTTTTTACAAAAGTACCTTGTGATGTTATCCTGATGCTGTCGGGATTTGCCAGAAAAAATGTTTAGTGGTAATTCATCACCAACTGCGGAATCTGATGAATGAAATTTGAATCCATACGAGAATTATGAAGACATCATTGCGGATCAATAATATTCAGAGTCGGTACGTGTGAGTAAACAAAATTCTAAAGTTGATGTTAAACACGTTGTCGCTCTCGAAACTGCTATTGGCACATTGGTGGAGGGAGACTCAGCCGAATAGTTGCTCCTTTGTGTTTGCAGCTTCAATCCGCACTCGTTCACTTCTTAACCGCCACCCCCTCCACCTCGCGCACCTCTGCAGACCCACAGCCGTGGCAACTTTCACCCAAGCGCTTGTCTGGCCCCCGCTCTGCCCCTCCCCGCGCACGCGGCGCCACCGCGCGCGCCGCCGCCGGCGTCGTGTTTACGCCGGCCACGCGACCGCGTGCGCGCCGCGCCGCCCCACCCCGCCCTCCGCGCCACCCCGCCGCGCTCGACCTCCGCTCCGCAGTGGAGGGGCGGCGCGCGCGCGCGCGCAAGGCCCGCGCCGCGCCGGCGCCGCCCCCGCCCCGCCCCGCCCCCGCACGGAGGTGTAGAGCGGCGCGCGGGCGGCCGGCGCGCAGTTCGGGATGAAGCCCGCGCCGGCCGCCCATGGAACGCCACCGCCCACGCGCGCTCGCCGCCGCGCGCCTCTCGCCCTCCGACGTCGCCCACGCGGACGCCCGCGACGCCGCCGCCCTCGCCCTCGCCCTCGCGTTCGCCCCGCCCCCGCCCGCCGCCGCGCGCGCTGCTGCTGCTGTTGGCGCTGGTGCTGGCGGCCGTCGCGCCGCCGCCGCCGCTGGCTGCCGCCCCGGCGCGCGCCGACCCGCCGGCGCCGCCGCAGCCGCCCCCGGCGTGCCGCCCAGACACCTCCGGTGAGCGCGCCGCCCGGCCCGGCCCGGCCCGGCCCGCCCGCCCAGCGCTCGTGCGGCCCCGCGGCGGCTCACGCACCTCGGCCCGGCCGCGCCGCGCGTGCGAGTCTCGCCTCCGCACCCTTGCGGGCGAATTGGCATCGACGACCACGCGCACATGCGACGCGTCTCCAAAGTGCAAATGACGACTCCGCCGCGACACTGAAAGCCGGGGGTGTAAGGAGCCGTCGCGTTACTAGATAAGAACATGCAATCCACCTTTTCTACGTCTTTTTCTCTTCTTGTTTTCTCTTTCATCTTTCAGACGAATAGAATAGCACAAAGTAGAAGACGTGAGTAAAAACGTGATTCGGCACACCTATTTAAAGAATCATTCCTTTTCAAATACTGGATTAATGAAAATTGAAGTGCGTCTTATTATTTCTATGTTCTGAGTTCATTTGTGACGAAATGGAAATACTAATTTGAAGTAGATTCAAATTGAAAAATTGATTTTACAGCACATGCTAGCTATTGTATACACTAATTAGTTTAGTAAGTACATGAACTTTAGAGGCAAAGTTATTATGAGGAATTGTTGAAGGGCAAGAAAAAGTGTGAAAATGTGTTTTGATTCACTTTTGCCTCATTATTCCATTCTTATTGAAAACAGTAATATGATCATTTAAATATTAGTCCGCTATGTAACACGTAGTTGTTTTATCACGAAACATAGATAGTTAGAACTTAAATCAAGAAATGTATTATATACATTTAACTTATTGGAGTTGCATTGGTTAATGACATATTATATAACTTGCAATACAAATTAGGTTTTGTAATAAAATTCATATTATTAACTCAAAAACAATTTAAATAATTTTTACTGTACATCTCTTTCATGAAATCTTTTCATTCTCGTTCATGAACTAAATATATTATTCTGGAATTGCACCCATTTCTGAATGATAAAAAGTGTTATTGCAATACGTGATTTTTTTGTGCGTTTTCATTGCTGCCTTTGTGGTCAGTTAGCACTGTTGGGGGAACGGAACATGATCGTGAGCGTGCTTTTTCCAGTTTTATTCATTGCGCCATTAAGCTGCCCGGACGTCGCTGTGACGATCCAGTTATAGGTATCGTCAAAGTCGGAGTTGTTGTGAAGTAGAGTCTTAAAGGTCGCGGAGTCAAGTCTATTAAAACTTTTCCGGGGCTCCCCACGTGAAGGGGAGAGACCACCCCTTAGTAGCCACTGGGGATGGTTCCGGCGTGACGCCGTGGTTTATTTGCTTCGTCCCCATTTACGCTTTCGATAAAATTAACAAACGAGTGGCGAGTTTATATAAGAGGCACACGTGTCGCGCGGGCAATATCCCACTCACGTTACGTGGAGCATTTGGGGACGACGGAGGCAAGGACATCTTGGACCTCCACGATTTCGTGCTTACTGTGGATTGTCTTTAGCGCATTCGACAGACAACTAATACACGTTTAGTTTCTTCGTATCGCTCCCATCGATTTGAGCCTTCACACACGTCCTCTATTCTCCAATTCTCATTCCTTTTGTGGGTGGAGGCAATTAATCATTGACTTATCGATTTTATAATTTCATTAAAAAGAAACACGCAGGCAAGAAGAAATGTCAATGTAAGAAATTGCAAGGGGAAGTTATGGTCATCTGATCAATATACAAAAAAAAACTTACTTTGAATGCCAAAGCTCATGTGAATAGAAATGTTTTGTATTTTGTCTAAGAATAAGGGCTGAAGGGAGCGTACGTAGCAGCGGGACTTGAAAGCTGTTCCTGAGAGTGTACACAAGCGCCCCATTTTCCCTTTTCATTCGCCCTGCAATTTATGTCGAGAGGTGAATCGTAGTTCGGAGGTGCTTCTCCTCCTGCGTGGCATGAAATGTGATTCATTCCAATGCACCATAAATCGATGTACAGGGTATTTCAGGGGAACATGGAAAGTGTAGAGTGTTACAAAAGCTATGTCTTCTGTCACTCCAGAATGAAGGAATTTAGTATGCTGAGGAAACACTGGAAAAAATGAAAAACATTAATCACTTATTTTCGTTGAGTGTTTAACATTTTACTCTGTCAACAATTTTTAATAAAAGCTAAAGAAAAACTTGTGTTCTATGAAATTTATCCTTCTGAATAAAAAAAAATTAAATAGTCTTTGACACTGACAATGACATTTCTATCAAAATTCATCATTATCAAAATAGGTAATCAGTACATTTTTATTAGTTCTTAACAAAGGGTAAGCTCCAAAAAGTATTCGGGACAAACACTTTCTTTTAAATGATTTTATTTCATTAGTTATTAAACATCATAGTTATTTCATTAGTTACTTAACAACATATAATTTCATTAGTAATGAAATTATATGTTGTTGAAATAAAGTCATTTAAAAGGGGATTGTCATGAATATTTTTTATCCTTACCTTATATTAAGTATTAATACTAAACAGAATGACAATTTATTATTTCAAAATATATAAATACATTTTTATATTAGTGAAAACTCGTTGTACTCTTTACAATAATGGATGTATTACTAATAAGCTAATAATATAAAGATATTTAGTGCTTTTAGGACCTTGAGTACAAGCTGTCGTTTTCGCAAATAACCAACTTAATTATTTAACTAGAGTGGTTTCATGTACTGAAATTAACTGTTTCACGCAGCAGTGTTTTGTCTGAAAGAGTAACCTTACATAGCAGCGAAATAAACAGCATCATTCCATAAGGCGCATCATTCACAGTTTTCCTTCTCATTTGCTTCTCGGTTAAAAAACGGAAAGTTTTACTCATTTTCCGAAGCAGAATTTCGCAATGTTGTAGGGGTCTTATTAGTGCCAAGAATTAACGAGTTATTCTTTCGAGTATATATTATATCGATATTATTTCGATCTATTCGAATATAATTGTTGGGAACACATATCGTTACACGCAGCTTATAGTCTTCCTTTAGTTAGTAGTTTAGACTTGAAACATAAAAAGTACTGGAAAATGTGTTTAAATGCAGGTGAATAAAAATATCTATTGTACAAAAACGAAAAGTAAATCATCGCTTTAATCACAATGTTCCCTAAATATTATGTCTCATAACATTTTGTAAAATGTTTATAAAAATTAATTAAAATGTGTGTTTTTGTATTCGCTTAAGATTAGTCAGATGGATTGCGTAGAAATTCATTTCCATCTCAAGAATGCTCAACAATGTTTTTTTTTGACAAGGTCGAATATATCAACATTGGTGATAGTTTCAAAGATTGCGTGTAGTGAATAATGAAGTGGGAATATTGGAAGAATAATGGCTTGTTTGATATAATTTTCGGAGTTTACTAGCTACGTAGTGATTACATTTCAAGTGCATCAGTAAAATACTCGTAATATAATAACTGGAATGGGAACGTGTGGTCGTTTAGTTCCAAAATCGGACATTTCCATTCTTCTTTACCTACTTCAGCATCTAAAGTGCCTAAAGAGAAACCACTGAAGATTAAGTTGTTGAGAAATATAAGTAAACACCGGTCGCGGCTCCTAGTGAATAATGAATCTGTAGTTTCCGTACATCATTTTAATTCTTCTGTAGTTAAACGTTCGTGGTTAGTAAAGCTATTTTCCTGTTTTAAAAAGGTCGATGCGTGTGGTTCATAAAATATCAAAATTTGTGACCTGTTACTGACAAATGATTTGTACGCAGTAACCGAGTTATTTTCAAGTAAAACATAATAATCTAAAGAAATATTTTGACGAACTTAATAGGAATTTTTGCAAAGAAATGAAGAGAATTGTATTAAGTTGTACGAAGAATATTTTATCATAACCAATTTTTAATACTTTGTGCCAAAATATTTTAAAAAAACTTGTCACTCTTCTGCTTTTTTGCTTGCTATGAAAGAAAACCATTTCTTTCTATTAAAATACAAGATATTTCCATTTGCATGCATTAGTTTTAAAATTATCCGTGAGGTAAATGAGGGTTTATTAAAATAAGATACGTCTCTCTTCAGATTCTATTCCGTGCACTCTCTGTGCGTCAGGGCAGCAGATATACGAAATGTGACATATGAATGAAATTTAAATATAAGCCGCCTAGCTTTCTTATTGTAATATGTTCTACGAGTAAAATAATAGTTCTTCACGTAAGATCGTATACATTTGTACATTTGTGTGAAAAAACGAGCATTTTTTGCATAATATTTGCTTAAAGTAACGGCAATTCATATTTTTTCTCAAAACCAGCTCCAAAGGTGCACAACATCTTCATAGTACGCAACACCCAGCTATAAATATTTTTAAAGTAAAACAAATTACGTGATATGCTGATTTTTCCTTTTTCGCACTTCACAAGAACATAAAGTATTGAGTGGTCCTGCAAAACGGCGAATTTTCGACAGAGAAACTTACTGCCGGGCCCTGGAAAAAAAATTGGATAAATATTGTTCGATTTTCTTTATAGGAAATTACTTTCTCTAACACATTGTGTAATCGCAATCCATGCATTGTGAATCGATAGTGAAAAATCGATTGAAGGCAAAACTTTTTTCCGTCCGCCCGTCCATTGGTCAGTGATTAGCACCTGAATCGTTCAGCCTCTTTTCTCCAAATTTGATATTCCGCCATCGATTTATTTGATCGCGTGTCCGTTAGATTTTGAAACGGACGGTTCAATTTCGATTCGTTCGGTTTTGATGTTGGGGGTACTTTACATGAAGCCTCAACAATCTGTTTCATAATTTTCTCAAAAATAGCTCTTAATTTAGTGATTAAACGTTGTCCTCCCATAACGTAAAGGGAGTTAAAGAGAATGGCTCCTGTATTATTTCCATTGATATCCCAAATTTTTCGAAGATTCCACAAGATAAGTTTTTGGAGTCTTTCTACAACTACAATATTGAAGATAGCTTTTTTCCTTAATGAAAGCTGTCTTTATATTTTTAAATTTTCTCATCATATCTCATCTATCAAAAGAAGGTAACATAGTATATAAGTCTCATTTCCACCAAACACTGTATTTTTTAAATTTTCAAAATTTCATCCGTTCAAAACTACAAAATTGAAGAAAGAAAAGTTTGATTTAAACAAAATGTGTTCTGAAAACACACCTCTTTATCAAAAGGTCAAGAATGTTTTTTTAAAAAAAGAGTATTTTTTTTGTAATTGGTGCTTGAATTTTGTTTTAAATTAAAT